AGTTTGATGCTTAACTGACTGAGCCACCCAGGCGGCCCCCTCCTTTACTTTTTATATTTCTCTACAGGCCAATGATGTCATCAATAAGTTTGAAAGCAAATTTCATAACCTGTCTGTGGACCTTATTTTCATAGAGAAAATCCAGCGGTTGCTGACAAATCTGCAAGTGAACATCAAGAGCGAGGTAGGACAGATTCACTTTTTACCTGGTAGATGTTTATCACACACACACACACACACACACACACACACACACACCCCTGCATGCCAGGCACTGTCCCAAGTGCTGGGGATACCACTGTGGGCTCTCCCCCATGAAACTTAAATTCCAGCCAGGAAGACAGAGATTAAATCACAGTAGCCTCTAGGATTCATTGAGTTATTACGCACCATGCATCCTGATAACTGACTTATTTTGATTAGCAATGTTAGTCCTCACAAGAACTGTAGGAGGCAAGTTCTGTTTTATTCCTACTTTAGAGATAAAGAAACTGAGGCCGAGAATAAATAAGTGACTTAGATAAGAACACAGAGCTCTTAAATGGTAGAGCCAAAATGTGAACCTAGCTCAGGGGTGCCTGGGTGGCTCTGTTGGTTAAGCATCCGACTTTGGCCCAGGTCATGATCTTGGGGTTTGTGGGTTCAAGCCCCATGTGAGGCTCTGTGCTCAGAGCCTGGAGCCTGCTTCAGATTCTGTGTCTCCCTCTCTCTCTGCCTCTCCCCTGCTTGTGCTCTGTGTCTCTCCCTCTCAAAAATAAACATTAAAAAAATTGTTTTTAAATTTCAAAATGTGAACCCAGGTCAATGATCTCAAATAAATAACCTAACTGTAAACCTCAAGGAAATAGGAAAAAAAAAACAAACAAAGTTAGCAGAATGAAGGAAATAACAAAGATCAGATCAGAAATCAATGGAATAGAGACCAGAAAAACAATAGAAAGGATCAATGAAGCTAGAGCTTGTTTTTCAAAGGTAAACAAAATGGACAAACCTTTAGCTAGACTAAGAAAAAAAAAGAGATAAGACTCAAATAAAGTCAGAAATGAAAGACATTGCAACTAATACCACAGAAATACCAGAATCATGAGACTATTACCAATTATATGCCAACACATTAGATTACCTGGAAGAAATGGATAAGTTTGTAGAAATATATCTACCAAGATTGAATCATGAACAAATAGGAAATCTGAATAGACCAATTGGTCAATTGCTTTTTCTGTGTCTATTGTACTGATCAAATGATTTTTATTTCTTATTCTATTAATGTGGTGTCACATTGATTGATTTGCATTTGTAGAACCATCCTCCTTGCATCCAGAGGTAAATGCCACTTGATCGTGGTATACAATGCTTTTAATGTGCTGTTGAATTTCATGTGCTAATATTTTGTTGAGGATTTTTGCATCTATATTCATAAGGGATATTGGTCTGTA